GATCTGATTGGTTTATTTGGCCCGTCTATCACCAACATAGGCCAATCAGCTAACCAGTATTTTCGCCCCTTCCCAACTTCAACGGAAGGTTTCCAGATGGATACGCTGAGCAAATCCATCTGGTGGACTCAGGTTAGGAGAAATGCTGGTTTGTCACAGATTGTTTTATTCTCGTTTGAATTCTGTCAGTAGAAACAATTACTGATGTCTGCACATCATGATAAGTAATTGTTCACTGAATGGTTTTTAACCATAATTTATATGTTGTATCAGCCAAATGCAGGAGAAAGTGTCTGACTACAGCGGCAATATGAGTAAAGAAATTCTTAAAATAGGAGTTTTTAACCTTAACATGAGTTGGTAAATAAGATAATCTAATAGTGGTACGAGTATATTTCCCCTTAAAGATAGACTGCAGTTGTTTTTTTCTTATTTTAAATGTAAATCGTCTTATGCCATTGGTAAAGTGATGCATTTACTGCTCAATTCAATAAGAAAAGCAAGAATTTAAAGAAAAAAAATACTTTTATAGATTTCTTAGGCTTTTGCAGCAGGGGGGAAAAAAAATTCAGCTCATCTTAGCTTGAAATTATTATTTTTTAAGCCAAGCAGCAAGTTGTCAGAAAGCTAACCGCAGATGTACTTAAATAGTTTCAGCAGAGTGAAAGAGGTTTGTGCTTTAAAATCTACTGCTGTGGAGGCAAACCTTTACAGACTGAAGATAATTTGAATAGAAAGACTTTTTTATTGTACTACTTTTGTGGTCTTTTAAATAGCATTTGGGGGTTTCCAAAAATAAACAAAAAAGGCTTTCAAATCCCAAGATAAAAGGGCTAGACAATAATAGCATTTGCAAAAGAATCTGGATTCAAGCAGTGCCATTTCCAAATTACAGAGGCACTCAATTTTTTGTAAATGTCACTATAAATTTACCAGAGAAAGACACGCATTGCTTTTCACTCCAGCCTTTTAGATGGAGGTAATACACTTGAAGTGGGTTTACTGCTGCACAAAGGGGAAGAGAAAATTACAGCTAGTGCTGAGATCCATTCATGAGAGTTAGAAGAAAGCACTAGTTCAGAAAACAGTCACTCTGGATAAGAGAGCATTGAAGGCCATGAAAACAATCACAAATGTGTCCAATAAGAATGAAATTCATCTCAACAAGCTGGATTAAAAACTTAGGAAAAAAGTTACATTTCTAATTTTAATTAGGCCTCCTCTCCAAACATGCACACTTGTATAGAATGTATTTGTTGCATATTTATAGTCAGTGCAGAACAAAATCTAAAAATTACTATTAATATTTGATTTTGGCATAATTGCACAGCCTTAGCAGGGAGGGTGCTAATTTTTTAAGTCAAATTACATCTGTCAGACATTTTCCCTCACCTCTTCAACGGACATGATTCCTTAACATAGGAGCTGACGTTTGAGCCACTGTTTGTCCTTTTGTAATGTGTGGGTAATGGAGGATGCATGATGTCTGATAAGGTGTTTCGATAGCAACATAAATCATTCTTCTGGACTTTTCGTGCTGCCACCTGGATCTCATCCTACTTTTCCATCTCAAGATGAAATACATCTTGAGATGTAAAGAAATACACAAAATATGCTATATGACCAAAATATCTAAGTTTTGATCTCATTTGCCCCCCCCCCCCCTTTCTGTAGGTTACGCCTAACCCCAGGGTGTTGCATTCCTTAAGACACTAGAGGGCACCCAAACACAGATAGTGGAAGGGTTATTAATTCTTTTAGTGTCCCGTGTTCATTTAGTGTGTAAATGTGTAAGCTTACTCAAAAAAGTATCAAGTCTCCCTACAGAGCAGGTTATAATATAACTGAGGGGTAAACAAACCTAACCCATTTGCAATAGGTCTAAGAAATTCAAAGACCACCTTCATATTTCAATAATAGTTTTCACCAACGGTCTCCCATGCACCCGAGAAAACACAACGCATCCCTAAATTTAAGCTTCTTTTACTAACCAATGAGGACTTCAGTCTGAATCAGCATTGCAGGTATAGCATGAGAAGCACATTAGGAGAGCAGGCCTTGCAGCAGCTGGAGGAGTTCAGGCGTACCACTCAGTAAGGTTTGCCAGCCCACAGCTCTCACAGCATTATCACCATTATTTTACACCTACAAAATTAGGCACTACTCCTGGAAGCATAAAGCTGCGCCTCAGGTTGTGCTTGGAGGCTTAGACCAAAAAAAAAAAAAAACTTAAACAGTGGACTGATTAATATTGGAGTGTGTTTGCTTGAGCACACATCCGGACTGATGAAGCGGAAAGAAAATCTATTAAACAGTGAGCGGTTCAATCAGAGTGGCAAACATCAAACAAGGAGCCTGGAAATCTAGTTTGGGGTGTATATTTAATACCAACTCAGAAGACGAGATCCTGAAGAAGCCTACTGCATCTTAGAGCTGTTATATTACTAAAAGCTGCATAAGGAGGAATGGTTTACATTTAGTGTTCAATAAGAAAAAACGTAAGACTGTAATATCAAAGAAAAAAAAAACAAGTAAAACAAGATAAAGTATTTTGATTGTCTGTCACGCATGTCATTTTATTGCCAAAAATGTTTACTTATAGCCACATAAGCCCAGGGCACAGGGCACGCCCCCCCACATGTTTTCTTTGTTTCTTACAATGCTTGTCAGAAACTCTTGGCTGCTCCTCTAATAAATAAACAGCCTACTCTTTGGATAGCCAATCAGATGACAGCCATGTCTCAGTAGATTTGCAGTTGTACTGTACTCTGCATTTTTAAAATGACAGACTGATTAGTGTTGTGTGACAAGTTCAAAGATTGGGAAATGTTGGGATTTTCATAAATTAATTTAAATTCTGAAAATGATTCCTCACATCCTTTCTAATTATCCACCAAAATGTAGATCACTGGATTTGAAAAGATAAGGGAACCACTGAACAAATTGTTCTCTTTTTCGCAGAGTTTTTCCAAGTGAATCAGCTCACTATGACTCTACTCTTGTGACTTTTTGGCATCCCTATTACTCAGCCCTTACTTAGCTTGTTAGAATGAGTTAATGCTCCTTGTTTATTTCCTTTTTAATCACCAGTAATACCTCTATTCATGTTCGCTCATGAATAATGCTACCATCTCGCTGAGAAGTCATGTTTGATCGACATGTTAGTAATGAGGCAGCTCATTAAGGTCTCAGCAGACATAAATAGCAGACTGCTGAGCATCATTTACACAGTGCCGTGTTAATAAAGCGCAGAGGAGTGTAGCTTACACCTGATTATCAAACAAGCAACAATTAACGAGCCTGGAGAAGCGTTCCCCCTACAGAAATGTAGACCTTTCATCATATTTCTAATCATCACCTTCAATTGGTTAAGAGCATGAGAATTTTTCATGCAAGGTCAGAATGTATTTAATCCTACTTAAGTTTCCTTCTGCAACAAATATTTTCTCTTTTATTAACATTTTTCTCCATATAGCTGGTGAATTCAATTTAACAGTACTGGTTTGCATTCAGAAAAGTTTTTTCTGTTAATACCAGAATTAGCAATATGTTTAGAGATGTATAATGGAACTTGTTCTGAAGGAAAAGAATCCATTGGAAAGTAAAATACATCACCTATTAAAAAAAAAAATGCCCAATTAGCACCCTCAAGTGAACATATTTTGACAACTTTATTCTGGTATTCTGGCTGTGAAATGGAGAGTTCCTCAATAATCCATTTTTGGGTCAGTAGCAAGAACAAGTATTTGTTATGGTGCTGATTTTGCAAAGCATGCAGAAGTCTTTCATTTTTATCACAGGGGGTCTGAAAACTCAGGAACAGAATCCATCTAGAAAAATCACAAGAAAACAGGCAAGCTGCTTGATAAGAAGGCAACAACTGGCATAATTATAAGAAAATGGAAGAAGTTCAAGAGGAGTGTCAATCTCCCTTAGTGTCAGGTCCGGACACAGGCTTGCTTTTCCAGGCCTGTCTGAGATCCATTAAGATCTGGATAATCAAAAGCAGGAATGGATCATGTGATCAGACAAGAATAGACTTTTTTGATTTAAAATCCAATGGTCAAACAATCCCAAGAACAGCATTCCACCTGGAAACATGAAGGTGGAAAAATCAGTTGCCGGGTTTTTTTTTTTTTACCACAAATCTGACAGCACAACTGCAGGTAAGGGTGAATGGGGCCATTGTTTGGGAGATCTTAGCCAACAACCTCCTTCCCTCAGTAAGTACATTAAAGATAGAGTTATGGGTGGGGGTGGATGGGTCTTCAAGAATGACAAGGACAAGAAATGCTCAGAAAAGGAAACTAAGGAGACGTTCTGGAAGAAGGATCTACAGATTCTGGAGTAGTCTAGCCAATCTCCAAACCTCCAGAACAATTTTCAGAGGAAGCTGCCCAGCTACAGCCTCAAAACCTAAAGAATCTCGGGTTTCATTTATCAAGGATTGTTTGGAATCTGTACAAAAAAAAGAAAGAAAAAATAATGCATTTATAAAACTGTGCATACTTACTAAAACCAGGCAATTTTCATTTATAGCTCACAGCTGTACTTTAATGTCTGCATACAAGGCTGATAATGCTCTGCCCTCCACACATAAGGGCAGAAATGGTCCATGTAAAACACTTGAATGTCATTCTATATTTAAATGAGCCAGCTTATCAAGGTTTTTGAAAATGGTTACCAATGGCAACTGTAGCCAAGAGAGCCAGAAAATGAAGTTTAACCAAGGTGTTTGTGTGCGATTCTGAAAGTGAGATAAATACACTGCTCAAAAAAATAGAAAGAACACTCAAAAACACATCCTAGATGTGAATGAACTATTCTCAGCGAGTACTTTGTTCTGTAAAAAGTTGGATATGCTGACAAACGCCACACAAAACCATCAATGGAAATAAAGTGTATTAACCAATGGAGGCCTGGATTTGAAGTTGCATACAAAATAAAAGTAGGCAAACACACTACAGGCTGAAAACTCTGATGTCCCTAAAACAGATGAAAATATGGCTCAGTGTTGTCTGAAGCCTCTGTGTACCTGTATGATGAGATAATGTCACAGATGGGCTTAATTTCTGATGGTAACTGGTTTCAGTTTTCATCATCTGTGTCGCAAATTTCCCCCTCTCTCTCCAAAATGTTTGTATCTGTATGGATGGGTCAGAGTTGCTGTGAGCTCCTAAACATTTCCAAGGCAGGTTTGTTTATGACAAATCACAACATTTAGAATGTGGCATACATGAGTTTCAGGCCCTGTGTTGTGCATCTGTAAGCTTGATAAATAAGGCCTCCAGAAAAGCTCTGTATAGGAGGTCCAAAATATCTGCTACACTGTGTGCAACCCTAAAGGAAACATGCAATATCTATTTTTTCCTAATTTATCAAAAACTTTTTTCATAAAGTAAAATGCAATCTAATCAGAAAAAAAAAACTATGATTTTCTGCAATTTCTTTACCTAGATTATGTCACTGAAACCTCTAGAAAGCTTTGATAAATATTAAAGGCTTCCATTTTGCAGTCAAAACCTGCAAAACCTAATTTATAATTTCTTTCATATTTAATGGGAAAAAAACTGTTTATCACCAATTATCTAAGACAATTTTGGTATGCATTAAGACTTAAAAAAAGAGACTTTCCTGTATGCTTTTACAGTATTTCTTACTAGATCAGATGACTAAATTACACAAAATTTTAAAACACACCAATGAGGCAGTCGAGGCTCATTTAGAAAATTCTGCCACAGTCCTGACTGACACCAGAATAATGGAACATTTCACACAATTCCTTAATTAACCCATTGAACTAACTCACTATTGGTGAAAGTAAAGATTTTAAATCATAATATTGGTCTTTGAGGCACTCATTACGTAAAGCCAAGTGGTGAAGATTTTAACACAAAGATTACTTAATGAAATTAGCCCTTAATGATTATCTTTATCACTACTTTTAAAGAAATACAAATTTGCCTTGCCTATTAATGGGGCTATACACAAACCTTCCCTGCCTTCAACTTAGATTAAACAAAACTGTCAATAATTTGAATGACTCCATAATTTAAACCAATAATTCAATAATTCATGAATGTAGTTCATGAATGTAGTTTTCAAGATTAGGTATTTTGGATAATCCCAACTCTGCAATAAATCCAACACATTCTTCAGTGTGTGATCAATGACTTTTTTTTGACACTGTGAATCCCCCATAGTTCAGATTTAACGTTTCTTTGTTTTAAAACATAAAAAACAAAAAACAGAATTTGAAACAAGCCCAAGATGTTTAACTTTGTTCCATTGGCAGAGACTTCTCTAAATTATGGCCCTCATATACCTCCATATAACAACAGTGACACAAACTTACATCAGAGTTGAATCTCAGTTGGCAAACACTACAGGAGATGACCTGTTTCTTCTTGGGTACCATGGTAACACCAAATGTGTGATTGATGACAGCCTTCTGCACTGGATCCATCTGCTCAAAACAAACAGGATATAGAGAACAGCAGCTGCAGATGATTATCTGAGCCGTGATGACAGCTTTTTTATCTCAGTCAGACTAGACAGCACGCAGCTAAGACATACACGTTTATGTACCGTGTTAAAGTTTGGAAAGAGTCCGACTGGTGACGGTGTCTCCATGGGAAACGGCAGGAATTGTTTCATCATCACTGAGGGACTGGTGGCGCCAATTAGACCAGGCAATGGCCCGCCCACTGCACCGCTCCCACTTCCTGAAAATAAATTAATAATCTCTTATTTTACTGGTTCAGAAGATCAATATGAATAAGAACAATGTGAAGATGTGTAACAATATCCAATGAATACATTTATTGTCAAGTTAGAATTATAAACGATGATCAAATGTACAAATAAATACCATAAAATACCTTAAACTTTCATGAAATTAGCCCCCCAAAAAACAACATTCTCCGTCAACTTTGTGTTAAAGTTTCACTTTAGTTTCGGTAAGTATTGTCAGGTCTGCTCTGCTTGTGTAGCCTTTTTTTCCTCTTCTTTACTCTCCCTGCACAGATGGTCTTAATTTGGTAATTATCACACCTGTCTGGAAATGGGCCCTGCTTCAGGTTTCACACTACATCGCTCTATGAAGTGTGTCAAAGTGTACATAAGGGCTTGATTGCTCAGATTACAAGCGTACAAAAGTTGGAGAATTTGGACAGAACAATTTACTCAGTACTTGAGCCTCTGTGTCATAAGTAACAGAGGCATAAAAAATGTAATGTTTTGTTAAAGTTAGTGCTAAAAGGGATTTTAAAGCTGCAAAAAGAACTTACTTCATACTCACACATGTACAGTATGGTAAAGAGGAATTATTTCGATGATTACTCCTGTAACTCCTTTTATTGGCATGGCACTGGAGCTTGTTTTTGGAGCTTTAGAAAGTACAATTCAAAGGAGAGATTTAGCAGTACAACACATGTCTTAAGTGAGGAGAAGGTAGAAGAATATACCAGAACATGGGGGGGGTTAGGTGTAGCTGGAGCAAAAAGCAAGGAACGAGAACAAGAAACTGTATTAATGAAAGAAATTATTTAAAAACAAGTGTTTACACATGTCGTTATTTTTTTTTAAATAATTTGATATGTTTTTCAATGTTTGATAAAGCAGGAATTATTATTGTCCTTTAAAAACGTCCTATTTACAGGAATTAATTTGGTATTTTCACATGAAAAAGGACCATATTACCAATTCTAAATTGTGTTTTTCTAGACAGAATGTAGAGCAAATGTGTCAAATCAAAATTTATCATGTAATTGAGACTAGAATAAAAAAAAAAAATAGATGGCCAATTTATTATTATTATGTAGACAGATTTTTTAAATTATTTTAATTAATTTTATTTTATTCATTTTAATAAATCTGTCTAAGTCTATTTAAGCGAAATATGGAGGATAATAACAGAACAGATTACAAGGACGGCAGAAGTGCGAATCCTTCTGCCGTCCTTGTAATGTAGGTAGGTGTTACATATGCAGCATATAGTGTGTTGAGGAGAAAGTAGCTAGTAGAGATAAGTAAGCTTCTTCTATCTGTACAGATCCATATTCACAGCTTGTAGAAGCTCTACAGAGAAATCTTTCATAACAACGGGGCGTGGGTGGAAACACGGAGGAAAACTGAATCAGTCCTGACACTGAGTGGGAGAGAAAGGAGGGAATAAATATTATATTTATTAGATACAATTCTCCTACTTAAGTAAACATATCCGATCCTCTTAAAACATTAAGGTGAAAGAAAAAATATTGTTGCTATTTTTACATTTATAATAACCCTTTAATAAATACATGATTTATAAGTTTTAGTTATAAAAAAGTATGAGGGAAATATGACATATTTCACCTTAAAAAAAGATTTTAATCCAATAATAACTTACAAAAAAATAAATGTAGGTAATCTTAGCTGGGTTAAATGCGAACATTATTAAAATTATGGCTCATGGTTTTCTTATGTAACCTTTCAAAATATCAATCCTTTATGAAAACAGGTCAAAAATAAATAATGTTATAAAAGAAATACATGACTGAAATGTAAGAAAAATGCAGAAAACCACACCCCAATTTATAATACTAATAAAGCAAGAATAATAATCCTAATAATAATCATCACCATTATAAAATCTGTGACTCCGAATTTCTTCCATGAGTACATCTCACCTTAACAGCTGCTATTTTATCTTAAAAAAACATACAAAGTTAAGTCAATTTTATTACCGTTAATGGCATAAATGAAATGTTAATTATTAATTGCATCTTTTAAATTACAAAATCTAAGTCCTTATACCCTGAAAAGCACTGATATTCTTCTGATGAGATAAACACTCTGAATCGCATGTCAAAAGCAAATCAAGTGCATTCAAAATCATAAAATGTTCCTTTGGGGCATTTATAAAACTAGATCTAGTTTTATAAATGCCCTAGATACTAGATCTAGTTTTATAAATGCCTTAGATACAAAAAAAATGGTATATATTTTTTAGTATTTAAAAAATAGATACTATAATACCATCAGTTAAATTGTTTAAACAAGAAAGGTCAATTCTAATAATATGTGCAGCCACAGACTCAATGCTTTGCAGACTTTCTGGAATATCCAGTATTAGGTGTGGCCTATGAGGTTCAATAATAATCAAGCTAAATGGGTTAATTAGTTGTGTTTTATTTATGTTTTCCTTCTAAGATGTGTGTTTATATTAAAGATGCATGTATCTGTAATAAATCTGAGAAACCTGCTCCATTCTTAGTCTATTTTCTCCCAGCACATCAGGCGGTCAGTGTCTGTTTTTATGAGAATCACTATCGGCTCCAGAAAAACATGACTCAACACAATGCTGTAATCAAACACATGCAGCCTGTCACTCACTTCACTCAGCTGGTTGGGTGGATCAGCTGCTATGAGCTGAGATTATTCATGGTGGTAAAAGCAGATTAGCTTCTATTTTTATAGATAATGTTTTGTGCCACCTTTGCTAGACTGCCAAAAAACTAATATCTTTATAGAACTTTGTAAATATCCAAATAGGATGTTGCTTATTTATGGTTAAGCTTACTCATTCATAATGTTTTTTAAAAAGAATGCAGTAAGGTAAAAATTGATTCAACCTGAGGATGTCTAAAAATGCTAAAAAACAAACAAAACAAACACCCATCATAAAGTTCTTGCGTTTTTCTATCCAAATCATTATCTAAATGTAATTGTTACCATTGGTAATTGTTTACCATTATCTAAAGGTAAATGCATTAACATCTGAAAAAGATGTTAATATATCCCACACACAAACATATATTTTTAAGCTTCCTGAAAAAAAACTGTTAGATTTCAAGTGTTAAAACTCGCTACTTCTCCACAAAGAGAAGTCCGTTGTGTAGTTAAAGATTTTTTTTTTTTAAACAAATCTTTAAAAGTTTATCGAAATAAACTAGAAACAAGATCTTAAACATCTTTTTCTCAACTTTGCACATCTATAAACTTTAAAAAAAGGTCAAATCTTAGGTCCTGCTAATGATTTCAGAAGTGTTCTTCTCTTAAAGGTATAGTGGAGGATGCTCTTTTTTCAGGTGGATCATCAAAATAAGTGATCCTCCTAATTGTCAATCATTCTGGTGATATGTTTAGGTAAGGCCGTCCTACGTTCTTGTCCCCATTTTCACTTACCACCATAGTGGAAAAATTGCAAACATTCTTTTGGAAACTAAGCTTGTAAGAGCGATGCAAACAGCAACTTTTAAACGAGCGTGCACGAGGAGAAATGGGCTTGTACATGCTCTGACACGCGTTTAATAGGCGTTCCATCTCGGGAGCGTGTACAGGGTTGTGCATGTGCATTTTTTTTAAAGTGGAAAGGACGGGTCTTTTAAAAAAAAAATGTAAATACTCCACTATACCTTTACGACACACCTGAATTAGATAACTAAAGTTCAGAAAAAGCATTGTAATCACCAATGGCAACCAGGTGTGCTTAAGCAGGGAGAAATCTAAAATATACAGACACCAGCCTTTGAGGACTGGAGCTGGGAACTCCTGATCTAAAGCATTCTCTTGTACCTTTTGTCCATATCCATAAGGTAATTGGCTGGTTTGAAGTGCACTTCCACCTACATTGTCTTCTATGGTTATTCTGTTTTGATTTCCATCAACTCTAATGGGTTCGACACACAGAAAGCGACGTTGTTCCTTCTCCATTAATTTCCCATGGAACTTGTGCAATGAGGCGACAATTGCTTGCCCTCCTCCAGCAAAGCGTCCGTTGAAATTATGCGTGATATCTTGAGCTCACACATGTAGACGTGCACCTACAGGCTTGCATCGCCATGCAAGAGGGTTGAGAAGTGTTCAACTTTTGTTTCTCAATCTGTTGCTTTTAACCAATCAGTAAAGAGTGTTCAATTACAGGAGAGTTAACTACTCTACCACTTCCAACATGGAGGAATATGTTTTTGCCGTGTATTGCATGATTTCACAGTAACAAAAAAAGTCTCCTGGATCTTCAATCTTTGCTGCCTTGTCTGACACGCTCTGCTCTAAAAATATCAAAGTCCCTTTTTTTAATCAATAAAATAAGGATTTTGGCAACAAGAGGCATCTGTCACTGTTTTTTTGTCTCTCCCAATGCATTAATACTATTACTATCCTCTTAGTCCCAGGTAAAAAAAAAAAGTTCCCCTCAGCATGATTCTGCTGCTACCATGTTTTTTGATGGTGATGTTGCGTTTAGGATAATATGGAATGCTTCATGACATGCACAGCCTTTTCCTTATACAGTAGGTCACAATGCTAATTATTAGTATTACCAGAGCACTTTCTTCAACACCTTTCTTTTTCATGCATAGTGGCAGAGTGCAAACGGGACCTCACCTTTTTTAATAAAGTCCTTCTTGCCTCTGAGTCATAAAGATTAGATTAGTTCAGGACTAATAGTCGTTTTGTGGACAGAACTTTCCTCCTGAGACGTTGATCTCTCTTTGAATGTCTCATCTCTTAAGGTTTTCTTTTTGCAGATAATGGGTAGATGGGTCCCAAACTTTGGATATTGCGTCATATCAGTATCTCACTTTAAACTTCTCTACAACTTTATCCCTGACTCTTTACTAATTAGGTGATGTTTAAAGTGAACTGGTTAAACTGGATTTTAATTAAGGGTATTAAAAAAGCTGACAACAAACATGTAAAAAAAAAAAAGTGTGAGAATCTTTTACGTTAAACTTTACAATAAGCTTGAGCTTTTAGTGTGATGAGTAAAATTATGTTTAAATATTAAGTTTAAATATTATGAATATTTAGGCTATAAACTCATTACTGCCCACATTTCCATGAACCTTTTATTCTGCCATATTTTCTTGGTCATCATTAAGCTTTAAAAAAATATTTTTTTCCAACTCTCAGCCCCATATTAGTTTTCAGTTTTTAATTTAGTTGAAGTATTTACACAGTCAGAATGAATGGCAGGCCAAACGGTTCTAAGAACCCTTCAACATTTATCAGTGACAACTTAAACCTTTTCAAGGACCCCCAAGTACTATTTCTACTTTCTTTAATACCCTTAAGCCTTTAAAACTTCATACCACCAGCAGTTTCCTTGCTGTCAGACAACCATAGACACCACATTCCTCAAAGCTAGATTGAATTGTCTGCTTTAAAGTAAAGATTTAAGCACTAAAATACATTTTTACTCCTTTTAACACATTTACTCCTCACTATTACCCCAGTCTGTGTATTATTTCCAGAAAGTGAAGCTAATTTTCATTGGGTGCGAGTGTGATGAATAGCATGGTGACAGAGTCGTCTTAATTCTGTCCTTCTGTCCTCTGCGATCTGGTTACAAACCACATGTACACAGAGAAGAGCACACACTGTGACCCTTCTCCTTTACAGTAAGTCTCTGTTCTAAGAAGCTGCTATAAATACAAACCTATACATCTAACATGTCTTCACTTGGGAACAGGCTGCATGAAAACCAGCCAGCAAAGAAGCAAAGAGCCAGTGTGCCTTTTTTGAAGTCACTGGTGTTTGGCCAGAAGATCTGTTAACAACTGCTTTGTTCTTTCAGAGAACCTCCAAATAGCTCTTATGAATCTAGAGCCAAGCATGTTATACCAAATGGTGGATGTGGCAAGGAGTCAGACAAATATAGAGCTAGCTGGTGGGCAAGAAGTACTATCAGAATATCATCAAGACATCTGGCTGCAAGTTAACCAAGCTAGTTCAAAGCATCAAATCAGTCAAAAAGTGGAGATTTATTTGAAAGAAAAAAGTAAAGTCATGAGGAATTTAGGATACCATAGACTATCGTGTGCATTTTTCCTTATACATTTTGGGTATTTTTGCTGCAAACCCTGAAGACCCTAGGCCTCCTAAAGAAGAACAGTCTGCTCTGTCCCTTCTGAAGACAGCTTCACCTTTCTGTCTCCCATCCAGTCTGTTATTTAGGTGAATAATAAGGTATTTATACTCCCCCATAACCTCAACTTCTTCTCCCATGATAGAAATAACGCTTGGAAACTTCTGTTTTGCAAGAAATATAAAATCTGTGTTTTTTTTCCATTGTTTTCACACCATACACTCCGACAACTTTCTCAGCCCTTTGTACACAGCTTCTTCATCATCACTTATACATCCCAAGAAAAATCAAATGATTACAAAACAACAAATTTGGACAAAAGAACCACTTTTCCCAATCAATTATTTAATGTAAACTTTAAAAAAAATCAATATGTACAGAATGTTAAGCGTTTAGTTATATTACAAAAAGATAAAGAACTTCCAGAAACATCATCTACAGTTTATTGTATTTTCACTTGATCTTGGCTCATGTTGAGTATTCTTAAATGGATATTTCTTATGTAAAGTACAAGTACAAAGGACTCCAAAGTACAAACAGTCCTAAAAGGGGTTAATGAATGCTGTAGAGTCGATGATACAATGCAAGCAAATGTCTTCTGTCGCCATGTGCTCATCGAACAGAAGCGTATCCTGCAAAGTCAAAGACTTGATGCAATCGGCTGCTAGAAGATTTTTAACCAATCTGGATGATCGGATTAAACGTGTCTGTAAAGTATGTTCAAATGACATGTGTTATAATTAGGCGCCTATATAAATAAACTGATTTAAATTTAATTAAAAGTATTGCGTAAATGTAACCAGTTACTACCCGTCTCTGGTTATACTGTATGCACTGGAAAATTCTAAGACCACGTTCCACACTGTGATTCCCGCTTTATCCAAATGACAGTGGATTTTTTTGAAGCAGGTGTATGATGGTTTCTTCGACTTGGTAATAAACAAAATGCAGAGGGTTGTGATAGTTGCTTGTTTACTTAGTGAAACAGACAGGAAAGCAGGAAACAGGAGTCTCTCCAGGAAATTCATAATGTGGGAAGTCAAGGCAAAACACTGATGGTTTCTTGGACTGCATATCTTTCACGATCTCGCCTGAGACTGACAAAAGCCAAAACGTCTTCCTAGTTCAAAAGATAAATTCTCAAGTAGTATTATGACATCAAGTGAATTGTTATTCAGCATTTTGAATGAGCTTTGCGCTGTTTAAACCTTGGATGTGTTTTGTGAGCTCCTGCCCCAGGAAAAGAGAGCAAACACCAAGGTGAGAGCAGAATAGTGGCTTGAGGCATTCTGACAGAAGATTGTTACAGTTCATGGGTCTAGTAATGGATTTTAAAAAGTCTGGTAAAGGAAATAGTTTGCAATAGGAGAAATTCAAAATAGCTGCCAACATGTAGGGGTCTATGTTTCAAGGGCTGTTCTCACTAAGAGCAAACTGTTAAAAGAAGTTCCCATAAAACGTAGAATTTTACAAAAGAGGAAGCCTTTGCTCTAAAACCACAGAGGGCTGACCTAATTTTGCCAGAAAAATTAAGACAAAGATCAGAATTGCTATAATAAAGCTCGTCAGAAAAATCAATCTCAAACTAATTTGTTCAGACACCACACAAGAGGACGATGTTTTTGACAATCCAAACACAGCATTCAAGATAAATAAGCTCATATCATCTGCATAGCACACATTTAGAAGTGTCATGGTTTGGGAATTATAAATCAGCCAACTCATCATTAGATATGCACCATGACTTCTACCATGAATCATAGGACACTTGATTAAAAGATGACCTGTAAAAAAAACAGGAAGAAATTAAAGCAGGTAAATCTACAAGGGACTGTTTAGCTAGGAAATATAAACTCCTCAACATAGTCAAAGATTATCAGCTTGTGATGTGTGGTGACATGATATATATTATTTGCACCAGAAAACCAAAGATTTGTTTTATGGGTTGGATTAACCTCAAAATTCAAACCCCTCTGAGCAGCATTCTGCTTTTCAATAAGGAAGTTAAGGATAAAAACCCTTCAAGAAGCTAAAAATATACCTAAACAATACAACAAACACCCGAAAGAGTAGGAACACTAAATGATGGGCCAAGATGATTTTCTAACTTTTGCTCAAGAAAATGGTTTATGTTTTATTTCAAAATATATTTTGCTTATCTAATATAAAATAGAACCAAACAAAGCTTTAATGTCCATCTCCTTCTTTATAGTCACAATTTAATGACTAATAAATAAAATGTATTCGGCTAGCATTGTTTTTTTGTCTTTTCTGGGTGCGTTTCTGAGAGAAGAATTGCTAAAAGGCCCATATAGATTAGTTAGAAATAGCTGTCTCCTTAGATCATTGAAGAAAGAAGCACACAGAATCCACTCTAAACTTTTTCCTTTTCTCAATCATTAATTTTCTATGAAGAAAATAGGACAAAAAGACAAAACAAATATTCCTCTAGAGGATATTACTTCCTAAAAAAAACCCTCTCTGGTAAATAAGAATTTTTAGAAATCTAAATCCTTTAGGTGTATGAATAGCAGGTATAATCTCGGCTTAACGTTTTATTCTAAATCTACTCTCAGTTTATCACAGGGCCAACACAGAGGACTGAAAGATAATTCGGAATCTCACATATACAGGGCACACTGGCTTCCAGGATGACTGAGGAAACCTAAGAGCAAGGAGAAAGTCCACAGATGCTTAGGCAGAACATGCAGACAGCAAAGGACAGCGGTGCTGACAGCTGAGCCACTGTGTTGACTTCATGCCAATATTGTACCTCATTAGTCATAGTTTTGATACACATATTTTAGTTTATTTTAATCACAAAATATTTACTTCTAAAGAACTAAAGCACTACTAATCACCCATAGCAACAATAAATTAGATTTAATGCAGCTAAGTTGACGTTTTGCATTTTAACATTGTTTCTGCTACACATCTGGTTGTTAAATGTATTTTTAAAAATGCTGTGGCCTTTACAATGGTCAACTGTATCATACATTAAACTTCCTAGTTAAATATGATCAGTTTGACTAGCCAAGCTTAAACCCCGCTGCTGGTCACTATATAAAATATATATCCTGTCATTTAACAGTCTGAATAATGGAGATTTAGGTTAAATAATTAAGTGGACAATACTTTTTCCATCTTAGGTCTCTACTTTGCTGCAAGTTTCAATTTCCATATCTAAAAACATTCAGTAACAGCAAAGATCAAGTGAAATCATGGGCACTTTGCTGTGCTGTAAAATCAGTCTACATCACCGTTAGTCGCATTAATCTGATCGCAGTTTCCCTCCTGATGTGTCCTTCCTTGACTTCCACAGCTGCTGAGATTTAACGGCCAATAAAGTGATTCAGATCTTTTTCTCTTCAGTACTTTTCAGTGTCCTGCTGGTCAGATAGCAGTTTTCTCTACAGTAATCTGAGGAAACTACTATCTGCTTGATTTATAGTTCAGGCCTCTCTGGCATTAACACCTCTCTGGCTCACACACACACACAGACATATTTACACCAACAGTGAGCTGGACTTGGAAGCTCACATGAAGGAAAATGTCCTGCTGTGTTCTGCTGTACAGCGAGGGGCAGACTGAATCTGACCTAGATGGCTCTGTACAGGGGGTTTTGTTACTAGAAAATGGCTGACATCTCATGCAGCCTCAGGGTACATAAATCAAAATGGGCATACTGAGTTTGCTGCAGGTCATTTAGTTACATTGGTAGTTTTATTGGGTAATCAAAGCATTTTGTGTGTTTTAAACATGCAAAAATTTTTAAAAACAACATGCAAGAAATTAGTTTAATATCAAAATTGATTAAATCAATTTAGCTACTTTACATTTTAGTTCTTTAACTATATTTCTAAACCATTACCAACATTTCCTTTATATACACACTTCAGTCAATCAAACTTTCATCTATAAAGCATTTTACAACACAAAATACTTAAAAGTAGACTAAAGATAAGACTAAAAATTAAAAAAGCCGTAAACAGTAAAACAATAAAAACACTAAAATAAAAAAATATAGGCAGTAGATGAAGATGGAGGCAGTTTGAAAACTGGGCTACTAAAAGGCTGGTTATACTCCCGCAGCAGTGTGTTGCAGTGAACTTGTCGCAGGTATGATACAAATATTTTGGATTTATGCCCAATTTGGAAGCGTGGTCTGCGCTATGTTATTCCACGCCACAACACAACGGGGACAATGATTAACTAGCTGTGGGTCTATATACGGCGGTGATAAATTGGTGAGGAAGTGGAAAAACTCGCTCTTCTAGCTGGTCCAACTTCAGAAGTTGTTTTCCACAATGGCGTTCATACAAACAAAACAAGCCGGTAAGGTACAAAATAGGAAATACGCTAGTGTAGAGCGGATATAGATTTGACCTATCAGAAGCCTCCTGTCTGTGAGACTGTCTGCGGTCACCTACAATCTTGGTGAGGTGCACGAGAGTGTCTGCGGAAGGGGCGGGGCCATATCTGCGTTAACTGCGACACACACGCAGACAACCTGGTTTCAGAGCATAAACCAGCCTTAATGTTCCCAGTTAAAAACCAGCGTAGATAAATGTGTATTTCAAAGATTTGATTCAATAAACAGACAGAAATTTTGACATTCAAAGTCAGCCACAATTTGTACTGTTTTTGTTGCATATAGAGCTCAGTGTGCTCCCATTAACCAAGATTAAGCGTATGAGTTTTCCAATGCTTTAAGCATGCGCAAAACTTCCATTGTCAGGGTGTAAAGGTCTATTATTCCAGAATAGTCAAACTCCAGTCCTCTAGGGCCAATGTCCTGCATCTTTTACGTGTGTCTCTGCTTTAACACACCTGAGTCAAATATTCAGGTCATTAACAGGACTTGGCTAAATTTGGCTCGATCCAAATACCTAAGATTGCAGCTCTTACCTCCTGTACATCCCATTACATTTCGTGGGCTCAATGGAAAGAACCCTATCCCTTAAAGGAGGGAGCTTAAGACTACTGTGCAGAATCTAGACAGCCTTTAGCCTTACAGACATCATTACAGCTGAAACTGTCTGCTAAGAAACCCAAAACATATTAAGATGCATATCATCGCATAGCTCAAACACAGTTAATGTCACAAAATAATATATTTCTGTTAAAATGTGAGGAAGGCTGGATCTATACGTCCTGTCAAGCAAAGGATTGTGGGCAACCATGAAGGTCTCAGTGGTAGCTTAGAACACTAGGAGGTCTCTATGCTCAATTATTTGGCGCTAGGAGGCATCCTATTTCCTCTTCCAGGCTTCCTCCTTACTGCCAGCACTGTTTGGATGGCTCTTGTTATGGTGACTTTGGATCCACTTCCTGTCGTAGTTGAAGTGTCATTCTAAATTCATGCTTTGATTTAGCCTTTGACTACATGCTAAAGAGGTAATGAAGCCATTTGATTGAGGTGTTTTTGGACCAGGGAAAAATGTAGAAGTTGCAGGACGCCGGCCCACAAGTACTTGAGTTGGACACTCCTGCATTATTCCATCACGGGGGTTGCTCTATATCTGGGTCCCACGTATGACCTGAGAAACCAGGTAGCAGCAGAAGTACTGTAGGTCCTCCATGGGTTACAGTACTGCAGGGAATATAACATAAGGTGCAGTAGGAGTGGCCTATTAGGAATAGGCCAGCGACTAAAATTTAAAACACCCAAACTCTCTGGGTAGCTTTAACACAGCTGTAGCCAATATGAGCTCATTAGAGATTGACTGCAGGCTAGTGAGGTAGTTCAACCATTTAGTTCTGGATGGGGAAAGAGAACCAGCTAAATGTTGCAGGACTTTAACACTAAAGGTTTTTAGTTTGAGACCACTGCTTAATTGTTTACTCTCTAAATCTACCCTTCTTTGCCTGCTACACCTTCATAGACTGGTCATTAGAGGCTGAGTGTTTGTCTATGGGTCCAAACTTAAAATGAAATAAATACAAGGATGCCAAATAATGCAGATGACCCTATAGACATATCTTGGATGATTGCTAGTTATCCTTTTTTTTTTCCAAGTTCATCATAACAATGGATTTTATATTTAAAATTAGGCACTGATTAACCCTCCAAGTACATGTCATTAAAACCATGAGAAAAAAGTCTATGCAGGAATACAAGAAAGCACACATTTTCAGATATGGAATGGAATGACATCAGGCAGTGGTGTAGAAATCATTTTTATCTGTCTATATTTGACTGTCAGATAAAAACTCAGAGCAAGATCTAATTGTATTTAAAGTGTTGTGAAAAACATTCCTTCCTGAAGAATGAAGCAACATTTCAACCAATACAGAAAAAAAAATGAATAAAACAATTTATATATTAGAATGTGTGCAGGTGCACACAGAAGAAAAAAGAAAATGGGAGGTTGGTTTTGCAGGACACGACAAGTCTTAGAAAGCCAGACCTCTTAGGTGTGAGAGCAAGATAGGATATCTTTCCTTAGTTGTTTAATTTGATCTGTTCACCACAGTTATTGTTTGCACACAGTGATTGGTATTTTAGAAAATGGGAATTTATGAGTCCAAATACTGTCTAAGTAAATCAAAGGAATACCCAAAAGGCTCCCCAATCACCATATGGACACTTTTTATGTTTTTGGAAGTTTAATACAATTCTTCTAGGATCCATTCTGGCAAATGCAATTTGACAAACTCAAAGTGAAATACAATAATTTGGTGAGACTCAGAGACAATCAATAGCATTATGTGCTAAATAAATATCAAGCACAAGCATTGTAATATGATTTTCTAATACAGTACTATTTTCTGAAACTGTTTTTTTCTTTAGATCATTAAAAAAAATGTAAAATAATATTTATACAAATCTCATTTTCAGGAGAATAGTAGCTCATGTTTTGTTCAAAGTAACAGGGTTTTAAGCATCACCATGAATATATCCAACAGAGAGTAAAAAGCAGCATCTGGTGCTGCTAATCAGGCTGTAAAGTGATTTGAACGGATGGAGTTAAAGTGAAACAAACGGAAACACACGCAGATCGCAGGAGCATATGGAGGCTGAGGATGAGGACAGGATCTATGAAGCTGTTGATCTTTACGCTAAATTAAAAGTCCTACCTGGACCTCAAGTCTTTTTGTCTTTATCTTGATACTTCTCTGCTTTGTGGATCTGTTGGATCTACAACATAGCCCTGTAACAGAGCTGTCATACTTTTACAAACCAAAGAACGGGCAAACACACCCACAGTTTACACCCCATGGGTGTGTGTGTGTGTGTGTGAGAGAGAGAGAGAGAGAGAGTGAGAGAGAGAGAGAGAGAGAGAGAGAGAGAACATATCAAGTGACTGGAGCAAGAGTGGCATGTGTCATCGCTATCTGAGCCCTGAAACCTTCAACATGTGTTTTTGTGTGTGTGGGTGTGTGCTATTTCCTAATCCCTGCTGCCGTTCTTTTCCTCCAGCGAGAGGAAATTCAATCCCTGGGCAATCGAGAGCTGAGGAAAGAAAAGACAGCCACACTTACAGATTATACCGGAGGATTAAAGATTAAATTACCCTGCCGCAGACGCCGTTGTGCCTTGTGATCAGATCAGAAAGTACCTGCTGGTTCACAGGTTTCCTCTTACAGTGTCTGTGAGTCTGTTGGTGTATTAATATTTTATAACTGGTGTTGTTGGTACCTGCCTCCTTTTTAGAAAAAAAAACTTAAACATATGTGCTGTTAAATATTTAAATAAAGGCTAATTGGATGCTTTAATTGGACTGATCCTGTCCTGCAGGTTTTACAGGTTTCCCTGCTTTAGCACAGCTGATTCTGATTATTCCAGTTCAGCACAAGCCTGTTAATCAGCTATCAATGAAAATCAGCTGTGCTGGAGCAGAGAAACCTCTAAAACCTGCAGGACAGTTGCCCTCGAGGACCGACTTTGGGGATGCCTGGTTTAAGGTGAGGATAAGAAATAATTTTGTCATGTTTGATAAATGCCAAGCCTCTACAAGATTACTCTGAGTCCACAGTTGGTGTAAATTAAAACTTTATTATTTATTTTTTCTGTTTTCATGGGTTCCCATATATGAACCAGTTTTTCAACTGGTTTGACCAACTCCCCACTCCTCTTCTTCAACGACTGACAAGTTCACGTCTCCCAACTCCAAACCATCATCCAACCCCAATATTCCAGAGAATTCCATTACACAGCCCACCCTGTCCCCTGCCATTTTGTCACTTTCAACAACATAGGTCACAAAAAGGATCCAGGTGAGAAAAGCTGCAGGTCCAGATGGCATCAGGTCCAGGCTTCTTTTAAACTTAAGCCTGAGGTTTGGAGAAGTACCACAACTGTGAAAGACCTCTTGTGTGTTACTAGTCCCAAGAAAAAAACATCAAAAGGACCTCAGCAGCTACAGGCCGGTAGTTCTGACTTCACACCTGATGAAGACCCTCCATTGGTTGGTCTTACACTATCTACACCCCCTGGTGAAGACTTCATCGGATCCACTGCAGTGTGCCTACCGCCCTGGGATTGCGGCATATGATGCCACCATCTTCCTCCTGCACCAAAATCTGACTCACCTAGAGAAACATGGAGGCACTGAGAGGATCATGTACTTTGATTTCCCCTGTGCTTTCATAACCATCCAGCCAGGACTGCTAAGGGACAAGCTGGAGGTGTCAGGAGTGGACCAGCACATGTCAAAGTGGATACTGGACTACCTCACTGACCACCCACAGTATGTGAGGGCACAGTGCTGTGTCTCAGATAGGTTGGCTTGCAATATATGGGGGTCCCACAGGGAACAGTGCTGGCACCATTCCTCTTCACCCTCTACACTGCAAACTTCTCCATCAAGTCCCCACGCTGCCACCCCTAGAAGTTCTCTGCCATAGTTGGCCTCATTCAAGGGGGGTACGACTCTAGTATAGACAGTGGACCCAGAACTTTGTGTTCTGGTGCCAGCAGAACCACCTTCTGATTAATACAGGGAAAACCAAGGAGCTAGTGGTGGACTTTCGAAGAGGCAGATCTACCCCACTGACAACGGTGAACATTCATGGAAGGGACATTGGTGATGAGATAGTGGACTCTTATAAGTACCTAGATGTTCACCTGAATAACAAACTGGACAGGACTCACAACACTGAGGCTCTGTAAAAGAAAGGTCAGAGCAGATTCTTCCTGCTGAGGAGACTGAGGTCTTTTGGAGTGCAGGGGGTGCTCCTAAAGACCTTCTATGACTCTGTTGTGGCTTTAGCCGTCTGCTATGGAGCTGTCTGTTGGGGCAGTGACTTAGCAGCTAAGAGAAAACGGCTGGATAAGCTGATCAGGATGATCACCTATGTGATTGGATGCCCTTTGGACTCAGTGCAGAGGGTAGGAAACAAAAGGATCCAGAAATTAACATCTCTGTTGGATAATGTTTCCCACCTCCTCAGACCATGTGAGTGGAGCAGAGCATGGAGCAGAGCATGGAGCGAGCGGTAAAGCAGAGCGGAAGAAATATGGTGGAGCGCAGATCAGTTTTCAATTCAAAGGCTGGAGTGAGAACTTTGCTCTGCTCCAGTTCGCTCCGACTTTATTTAAATACATGTTTGTTTTAAAACCTAGGCCAATCCCTATGCTGTCTGTGCCTATAATCTGCTATAGTCCATGTTTCAACTTTACCACGGAATCGGCGAGATGAGGATTGAATATTGTGTGATAAAAAGTTGGATAAAATATCATAAAAACATACACTAACTATTCCTAACATTACAGAGTGGGTTTACCTAAAGTGATTCTTGTGGTAAGAGCCTGTTTTTGAAAATGGATCGGATACATACATTACATGCTGTTATCTCATTTGCAATGGTATACGAAGTGACCTTTTTTAATGTACTCTGGTAAAATAAAAGAATTATTGAATAGGAGACACGAGACAACATGAATGGAGCGAGGTGTTACGTTCACAGCTGGGAA